CATTGGCTTTTCTAAATAAACTGAAAACTAATTGTATAGTTATACCCTGGGATAAAAGTATCAATACTTTTACGAAAGCTGTTGTTTTCGAGTTAGAACCTAATTTGCATGCTGGTATATCTTTATGAAGGTATATCTTTTGTTAAAGTGTGTAATGGATCTTTGGGAATAAAAGGCGGCTGACATAAATTCTTCCGACACCTTTATGAGGACTCACCATTATGAAGTGGTCTCCGCTGACAATATCATATATACCATGCTTGAGCTGGGTAATAAATATAATTAACTATGTGTTGAATGCGTTGCTCATTCACGTTAATTTATAAAATCAATAGTACTTACCGAAACGATTCCGATGGTTTTTGGTTTCAAAATAATTATGTGGTTCTTTTCTGTATCTTAAATTACGGCTTGTGCATTCAACTGAATTACATCTTAAATTATAGAGAAAGTAATAAGTTAAATTTCTCATTTACTAATGTAGCAAATGTGGTTCATATGTGTCATCGTTGATTGCAATTAAAACAAATAAGCGTATTTGATCAATATAATTAGCACTATAATTTATAAATGGCACTCATTAGTCTTCGCTCCATGACTGCGATAAAACTTTAAAATCCTAATGAAACACGAGAAAAGCATTAGTTTGTGCTTAATTCTGGTGTGAAAGACAAGACGTGTATTTGACATAAGTATCGCGTTAAACTATGTCTATTCATGTATGGAAACTGAAATATGCTTTACAGCTAAATGAATAAGGTATGTAAGGTATGATTTTTAACTAACTTATAACTGGATTTTTGTCAAGGATAAATTTTGTTAAAGTGTGTAATGGAATTACACATTTAGTCAGAACAAATATTATGCGTAAATGAAAAAGAACATTGCCAATTTGAAATTAGAGAAAATTTAGCTTTAATTCAATACTGAATTTACAAAACAACAGAGATAAATGAAAAATTTTTTATTAACCTATCGTAAACTTAAATTTATAATATTTGCTTAGTTTAAAATTTTAAATAACCGTGTTTCTTTTTCGTGCATGAATTTTGTATGGTATGAACGTCAAATTAAGGCTGACTGTCGTCTGCTCTTTAAATTGATGTGTATTGCGGCTATATAAAAGTTTTGTATAATAAAAATGTCATTCATATGTTAAAATTAATTTAAGTTTTAGATTTCAATCAACATACTTTTCATTCCTAAATAAAATGTTTTATGAAATCAGTGGTACTCTGAGTTTGATCATTTCCCAGTTCTAAATTTCGAAGAGGATAGCCTTTTATCTGCAATAAGTAAACGGTCTTCCAATAAGTATGATATGATTTTAAAATGAAATAAAATTAAAATTTTTTCAAATATGACCACACTTTAAAACTTTATTTTGAAGTACAAGTGTGGACATTATACATTGAACAAACATCATCTAAGTGTCCTCCTATAATTAGTACACACGAGCGAATGCGATGAGCCAATATTCGATTATTATATGCAATAACTCAGGCCTAATGTCACTCATCAAACTCTGCATATAGCGTTTGGTTTTTATTCTTAAAGCTTCTTAAAGGTGTTTAATTTTAAAGGGTTGTTGGCTTGTTCACATAGACCATTGGTTTCAAACAACCCACATAAAGTAATCTAAAGGAGTTTAATCAAAACTTTTGACAAGTAACAATTTTGTGAAATTATCTTTTCGCCAAACTGCTTTTGCTATACATCGATAGTCGAGTTAAAAGTGTTATACGTGGCACCTTCTTCTTTGAGCCACATGCCGTCTAATTTTGTCCCCAAAACATTTAGCGTCATTAATCAGTAGAGCTCGCCGTCACTGTAACTGTATCTTCTTCTTAGGTTTCGAAAAAACGTAGCCCGATAACTTTATTATGAAGCCTTCCACACACCTTCAGAAGCCATGCCATACAGTGGCCTTTTCTGAATGCAAGGGATTCTCATTTATCTCTTGTAAATTGTTTTCAAACCAAAAACTGCAGTTGTGTTAGCTATCATATCCAATCAAACAAAAATGAGCTTCATCTGAGAGGATAATGTTTTGCCCAAATTAATGTTCCTGAAGGATTACCCAGGATGAATAGTCAGGGTATACTAAGTAGACATAAAAATTAGTGAAAGTGATAACATTTTAAATATAGTTCCCATTTCGTTTTAAAATCATATCTTTCTTATTGAAATATCATATTCTTTTCTATAAAACCCGACATAAGGCTGAAGTTCGTCTAATTTTAAACTAACATATGTTTTTTCAGATGCGATTATTTGACTAGGTTTCAATTTCTAGTTGAATTTTAAGTAACATTAAACTAAAAATATAGTGAAAAAATAACCCAAGAAATAATATATAATGAAATAATTACCCCTTGTTTTTTAACAGATAGGTTGTATTTCTTAAAAGTAAGTTCATATGTCACTTTTCAGCTAATTTAGAGTATTAGGCACTGTGCCATTTTTCCTACAATTCCTTCCCTGGAAAACCCTTTCTTCCGCTCCTTAGGAACAAGATAATAATAAGGTATGGCTTTGGGGGGGGAAATGCGTAGGACAGTTTAGGGATAAAAGTGCTTTACAAAGTAAATAAGGAAGCATGTTATTGATTTTGCAATTTTCTCATCGGTGAGAGATGGAAGTATAACATTCTGGCAACATCAGTAAAGGTGTCTACATTTCTGATATTTTATGTATAGAATTTCTTAAACATATTTGTCATACTTGATTTCTTTGCATTAGAACTTTCGAGCGGAATACATATTCTACGTATTACTTATTGAAATTCGATTTAAATTAAACAATCATACAGTTTATTTCTTTGTACGAAGTAACGGAAGCATATTATACTCGTTATAAAAAAATAAAATTAGAAGTTTGACTTCTGTACAACAAAAATTGACCGGGATATTTAGCTTCAAAATTTGCAACTTTTTACGTCATTTTTTCAGCTTGCCACAAGAAATAGGTTATTTAAATTAGAATAATTCACGGAAATAAATTTAAATGAAGTGCAGTAAAAAAGTGCGTATAATTGAATAGGTCATACAAGGAAGTCCTGTGGTGTCCACTTCAGATTTTTCATTAACCAATATTTCGAACGAATTGCGAAGGTTTTACATTTCTTACAAGATGTTATACGTTGTTGAATAAAATGAAGTTTTATTCAAATAAGTTGAGTGAGATTATTTAATTATTTATGGCGTGCATTGCTTTCTCCTTTAATGCAAACAATGTAAACTATGTAAGGAAACATTGTAGCCCCTTATGTGTTTTTCCGTTGCATAAGTGGTTAGCATGTCCATGTAACAATCAAAATATCCTTGGTTCATATCTTGGCTAGAGAGTAGTTGATTTTACATGTTTCCTCGCTGCAAAAAAATCTAATGGTCTCTACAGCGGCAGACTAACTAAAGATAGAGAATAGTATTACGTCATCATCTGGATTTATTTGACGAAATCATGTGCCTCTTTTCAATTTCCCTTTAAGTGGAGAAGATTAAAAGAAATTATCGCATTCTCTTTTGGGTGCTGTCGCGCTGTAAGGTAATAGAATTTCAATTTTACATAGCAAATTGAAGATCTGTGACTCGAGTCACGGAGAGGACGCAATGAATTTTACTTATTTCCTGACTTCGATAAACCTAACTTTCTTAAAAATCATATTCCTGAAAAATGTTTTTAAAAATATTATGTGTTACATGAAAAAAAAGAAAAAGAAAATACCGCAATATGATACATCTCGAAAGAATAATGTTTCTATTATGCATACGAGGCTTACACGAAAAGCTAATATGCAATTGTTTGTTTAGACATAGAACTAATATTACAATGGTGAAAAATTAAAATTGAATAGCCCATATGTTATTTATGAAGTATGAATATAGGTGTTTATGTTTCCTAAGTTTTTTTTACTTTCCTATTTTCATTATTTTACTTTAGTAAGCTTTAGAAGCAAGGAAAATCTGCGATTTACTTTAGTAAGCTTTAGAAGCAAGGAAAATCTGCGATGCCCTTGCCAGGATTTGAACTCCAGGCATTCCAACAGCCAATCGAATCTACTTCCAGTACACTAAGAAGGCATGTGGGAGAAAGGAGAAAATTCCTTACATTCACCCCATACATAAGGGACATAATCACCAAATCCAAATGGTTACGAAATATTGTCCACCACATTTCAGTAGGTTCCCGCTGTAGACTATATTGGACTTTTCAAAGCCGGAAAAATGAAGCATCACCTATGCCTTCCCTGGGATTTGAACTCCCAACTGCCAAACGGACGTACTACCAATTACACAGCGAAAGCACGCGGTGAGGAGGGAAACGAATTTCCTTAAATTTTTGTTGAGAATACGAAAGAAAAGCAAAGATATAGGATTACCAAGATTTTCCTGGATACACCTGGATTCGTAATTAGTTCTGAACTTGTATCCCATATCGAACGTCCAGGAGTTTTAAATGAGCACCTATAAAAGTTAATAAAATCATTAATTTATGGATAAAATTTGGGAATCCTGCAGTATTTTAGCAATGCTTTTATCAGAATGCGACTATTTCAGGATAAATCGAGTAATTTTCGGGGATTTTGGGGAGTAATTTTGCTAACATACCTTCGCATCATCTACAACTCCGCTACAGACAGCTCTAAACAATGTAGTTTTGAGCATTTTCATTTCATTTTATTTTTAAATCAAACCTTTGTCTACCGTGCAGAATTGTGCAATTCAGAAGTCTTAGGTGTTTTTAATAATGATATTAAAACTTTTCACAACATGGTTTGGATTATCTGTTTTGAAATATGGGGACCGAATTACACATGAAAAAATTCACTTTTTGAGTATTGTTTACATTTAAATTTAAGCAAGTACTTTTATTTGTAGAAAGAAAGTATAAATTAATATAACATAAATTAATATATATATATACACACATGTATATAAAACTAAAATATGTGTATAAAATGTGCTTGCCACTTTTTTCTCAATGTTTCTTTCTCTTAGGTCGCATGCATTCTCCTTCCATCATACCGAACTTTCCACCACCATTTCCTCACTTCCCTGCATTAGGAGGAAGGTAAGTTATGTATTTATTTTTCAAAATAAATTTAATTACATTTACTTGAATTATTTAGAATGTATTTTGCATGCTGAGATTCAAGTCTTCCATAGCAGCAGTCGAATTATAAAAGTTTTACAAATTTTTAAATACCCCAGCTATTGCATTACTTGCCTTAACACTTAAGATTTATACATGTGATAGCTTAAGCTCAACAGGTAAATAATGCATCTTAATTCTTAGCGTTACATAGCTAGAATATTTTTAAATAATGCATATTTATTCCTAACGTTATATAGCTAGAATATTTTCCAGGTTTCCAGTGCCTTCAATTTCCAGCATTTCGATGCGGCATAGTTGCTAAGTTTTTAGGTCCATAACACATACAAGTGTGGGCTCTTTGCGTACATAATATGCTTCAATTAGCTAAATATTCATTGTGTGTGTTATAATCTAATAAGAACATTTCAAACTGCTTCCATTACATTTATAAAATAAATCAGCTTTTCTAGGAATGAAAATTTGAGTTTAGCATCCAAGAGACACAGCTGTGAACATTGTATCAAAAAGAAGGCTAAAGAACTCTAACAACTTATTATCCATTAAGCATCGACGAGACATGGATTAAAGTTGAATGAAAATGAATCAGTCTTATTGAAATGAAAAAGAATATTAGGTAATCTGATATCATGCTAGTCTCTTTGCAAAGAGTAACCAAATGTTTTTGGGAAGGTGAGAGGCTTAGAGAACGCTCCAGCCAAGATTATCCTGCGTATTGCGAACAGTTAAAATAATGTGGGTAATGTGCGATTTTTCAATGTCCTGTTGAGAGGCTGAGCGACGTAGGAGTAGAAGATCATAAAACCGCAAGAGGTGGTTAGTGAGTAATTGTTGTGCAGGCCAAAGATGAATGAAATTTGTACCTGATGGTAACCCATACTATTATATTATCAATTCAGACGGTGAATCAGTATGACGATGAAGAATACAAGTTCTGAATATTTGCCCCTTTTATGAGTATTCGCCACACCGAATTTTCGATGCTGCCACATACAATACGATCATCATGATGGTATAATTAAAGACATATTCGTTAGAAAGGACGAGATTTTGCGACAATGATGCCTCCGTTTGAGTCTTTGAACTCTATTGTTATTGAAGGTGGCTCTGATTCTTTTGTTGTAGAGTCAAGAGAAGCGAAGCAGTGATAATATTACTGACAGTCATTGGTGTATTTTAAGTCACACTTTCGGTCACTTTCTGACAGTATTGGTGATACTCTTGATCATGTTGCTGACACTCTTGGTGCTGTGCAACATACCTGATCTAGATAGACTACATGAGGTGGCTGTTTGATCCCTAACATCGATGCGACACTATGTCTGTCTTCTCGAGTACTGGTGAGCATGAGGCGATTGAAATCCACACATCGCTCTCTGTGAGCCTTCTGAACGTATCGATTGTGAATTCTCATAAGACACTGGCTGTTCACTCAACGTGAGCAGCAGGTGCGCGTTGCGTTAATACTCAGCCCCTAAGGGGCTCGATTCTCCTGTAATAGAATTTTCAAAAGGATTGGTATGAGCTTTTTTATCCATACGCAAGTTATAACAAGACATCCATCTCAGAAAGCAACGAGTAAACTCGATTTCTGAAAGAAAAAACTGACATTTCAATCCGCTTTTTATATTGTTTTGAAATGTCCTTACTTTTGCCTGTAATGTGCGCATGCCATTAAATGCTAATTATTTGCATATTCCAGCATGTTCTATCTCTTATACCAATTTCAGGTTTATTGTTCTTTCTTTTATAGTGTGAAATTTTAATTGGCAATAGGGTGCATACATATTGCACAAATTCTAGCAGATTTCATTGCAGTGTAGTTACATGCTTAGGTTGTAATGTACTCTTGTATATTCCTACTTACTTTTTAACTTTTCAAACGCATGATAACTGCAAAAAAATGCCTGTATTCGAATGATTCGAAATGTTCCATCATTATGTCGAACTGAATGTTTCCTTAAGAAGTGAGCTAATTTTATAAAACTCTTTCTTCTATTATTTCAATTACTTGATAAGTGGAGAAAAGTGTCTGCTATTTATTAAAAAATGCAAAAATTCAAAATTATTTCTTTCAGTTTTTTGAAAGAAACTTTTCAAAGAAATATTTAAATTTTTTATTATCTATACATTTTAGTTTTCTTTTAAATATTTCTTTAAATTTTACAGATTAAAAAACCAGCTCTAACAGAATGTTAACGATCATAATTTTGATCAAACAACAGAGCAATTAATTTACATTTAGATTCCAGATTTGATACTACGAATTTACGAATAAGTATATAATGAGAATAAAATATCATATTAGTCAGAATACTGAATGATGTATTTTTCATTTAAAATGCATTCTGGAGACCTATAAGGTATTTTATCCCTCCTTTCCCCATGCCTTCGGGGTGTAACTGAAAGCACGCTCGACGCATGTTCGAGAGGTCCGGAGTTCGAATCACGGCCAATCATTGCACAATTTTTCCTTTGGTGTATCGGTATAAGCCTAATGACTCGGTAACCTTACACTAGTTTTTAAGGAACTTAACATTTAAGGCGCTTTTTCAAGATAATTTATTACATATCAATTCACATTTCACATGAAAAGAAAATTTATTTACATAGCACCTGAAAGTAGGGGATTTAGATCATTTAATTGTCTTTTTTTCCTTAAATACTTTCATCATATGATGTTTATATATGGAAAAAAGAGACTACCTGGTTTTCGGTTTAATACGATATCCGCATTTGTAATGAAATTAGTTTTAATTACGAATTTATCGTATTATAACAATTTTATACTTGAATATATATTTCAGACTGTTTTCTTGAGGAAAAATAAAATTATGTTTCTGTATTATCTTCTTTATAGGAAATATTTCATGGGTCATAAAAGAAGCAAATTTCAAATATTTACTTAGGAACAAATAGTTTACATTTAAAACATAATTTGTAAACATGGTATGACATGATATTGTCGAAGTTTCAACGTCATTAGCTATTCATCGTATCCTTATATACCTCTTTTTTCTTTTTATAGCTTTGTGCACTTGATCTCTAGAGTCCTCTTTTATTCAAGTTTATTTTTCATAACAAAACAATTTAAGTACCCTATGCAAGAAAGTAGCATCTTCTTTTTTACATAAAAGACGCAAAAAGCGATTATTCATTCTCCCTAATTCATTTTATGTCATTTATAGTAGCTCGCCTCGTACCTAATGAATTGAAGAATTGTCCCCGAATGGAAAGAAGTTAATAAATAAAAACACTCCACACTAAATAAAAACCTGGAATTGTTATTATATGCGAAATATACGTTGTCTCCTTTGAATTGTTGTATTCTAAGACGCGTAATAAAATAAATGGGTATACCAAGGAGCAAAATGGAGCTCCTCTTGTTGAAAAAAAAATTATCAACAACGTTCCTCATAAGAAACACAAAGGAGAGTGCATCATCAGGAACTCTGGATGAGCTGTTTGCGGAGAGCTGACTGAAGTGTCGCAAACAGCCATGACAAATGTGTTATCGTGGAGGCTTGGTCGCTGTATGGAGGTGATATATAAAGGATGTTTCGAAAACCCCTCAGAGCAGCACAACAACATCATGGAAGGAAAAAGTGGCAAATCTTATCCATCATATCGTCCTCACAATAGGGGACATCGAAATGTGACGAAACATAATCCGTCTCCACCCCTGAACTTCATCTGTCTTCGTCGTATTATGTCTTCATTTTTCTTCTCCATAGTTTGAACGATCTCGTTAAGAATTTGGTCCTCAATGTAGATTGTTCTTATGCAATTCGCGTGTATAAGAATCACTGACACGCAATGTTCCCGGAAGCTGTCAAAGGCCTTATCAACATTGTCTAGAGGGAACTTACACCCGGAGTTCAAACATTGCGTGGGATATTTTGATTTATTACGCTATATAGACATATTGGTTTTCTCAGCGTTGTGGGATATTTTTTCCATATGATAATCATTCATGTAAGAAAGGTTTCATGTAATGAATTATATATTTAAAAAATGGTAGAATTTATTAATTTAAGTATCTTAAGTCTCACAAAAAACCTTTATAAAACATTTAGGTTCAAAATTGCAACGCTAGCAAATAACAGATACTATAAAAATAAGCTGTAAATCTTTGTCTTAACGGTTCATTAAATGAATGTCTGTCCAAGATAACTCTAATATCTATCCGAAAAAATATACAAATATTTTGAAGCCATTAGAGTTAACGACTAGAATTAAATAATATATTCATTTTTATAAATAAAAATTAAATATTATAAGGAGAGAATACTACATGATATTTTAATAAAAAAGTGAAAACATTCAAGTTATATATCATGCATATTTAGTACACATAAGTAACTAAAATCAGTCTCAGGTGTCTATGAGATTTAATATACTAGGTAAATAATATGAAGAAATAGGAGCATATGTTTTAGTGTAATATTTGCTTATGTTAGAGTTGCTCAGCTATATTTCTGAGGATCTTCTATACCGATTACTCAACACTTCATGATAGTGCAAAAGGTGTCATGAAATATGGAAAATATTCAATTCCTTTCATAGAATTTCTCTCATTTGTTTAGTTTATGGTTTACCTTCTAAGGTTCTAATGCGTAGAAGTTTAAATCAGTTTCCCACAGATCCTTTTGTGCTGTAAGCGAATTATCGCTCTGTTTGAATTAATATGATAAAGTTAATATGATAAAGTCCTGATATTAATATGAGAAGGTTAAAATAAACCTTTGTATAGATTTTTAAATGAAACAGAAAAAACCACTTCTGCGTAAAAATAACCTTCGCCACTCATGGGCGTTTAAAATAACATTAAACTGAAATCTAAATTTAAATAACGTATTTGGAGATCACACACTTGGCTAGCTCATAATTATTTAAATAGCGTATATACTTAATGCCCATTAACAAAACGGCTAAAGCCGGAATAATATCTGGCAGAG